AACCCATGCATCTGGAAGTGCCTAATAATTGTTCATTTCTATATCTATTATCAACCCAATATCCCTCTCCGGAGGGTTGGTTAAATTCAATAAGTTGTTTTAACTTTTCCTGCCATTTCGCCGAATAGCAAAATAGTCATTCATTCTTTTAATTGATAATTTTTGAGTTAATATAGCCCCATTCACTGGATGCTCCTAAGATCTCGACATGTTATTGTTTGCCAAAATGGGATAAAAAACAGGATCCTATGGCTAGTTTTTGCGTTCATTTATAAAGCCTACTTTCAAAGGTGATGGTTATACTTGAACCTACCAGTTCTCTCATTTTTGGCTGCCTCCTAGACTGGGAGATAGAATGTAAATAGTTCCAGGACCTGAAGTTTTGCTATACTTTGTAGTCATCCTTAATGTCGTCCTCATGACTAACCTGTTCGTCCATTAATATTGCAAAAGTACGTCAATTTTTAACTGAGTATGCTCGTGATTCAGATAATGCCCTTACTTGTCTGAATAAGAAATGGAAAATTTGATATATAAAGGCTATCTTTACTATCAACCTTGTACCCTCGGAGGAACACTAACCTTCGAGGCTAATTCATTTTTCACTTCTTTATTTATCCTTTACTCAAACCTACCTAAGTGGCTTCCTTAGACTTCGTTTTGCGCTCCTCACAGGGATCTTTGATCAAAATTTTAGAATTTTTGGCGGCATTTAGCAGATCTAGTCTCTATCCAAAGTGATTTAACTTAACCATGACGACAACTGCTCTCAAGACTAAAGTTTCCTTAGCACAACTATTTAGATAATTTACTTAGATTATAACGCTCAAGTTGAGTAATTTGATTTAATTTAATCCTGTCCTTAAGCTTATCCTGTAATTTATCCGTTTACTTAATTAATTCGAACACCATTTAAATAGAATGTCTTTTTTACTTGGGAGAGCAAAATTAAAATCTTTACATAATGAGGGCCCGAACCAAAATTTTGGCATACATTGATTTTGCATCGAAACTAATTAATGAATTCTCCCCATAAATGATCTGTTGGTCTATTAATATTACAAAATTATGTGGGTTTTTAATGGAATTCAATCAAATTCCGATTCAACGAACATCTCAATAAAGAAATGTTCAGAATAACGGACAATTTTATTGTTCATTGCTATAAAATTGTTGTCTTTCTCTATCCGAAGTTTCGTTATAACGTATATCTATAAGCAAGATAATTTTTTCAATTTTCCTTCATCACCTAAACGACAGCGTGAATACATCTCATATTATTGATTTACTGATAGTCTAGAAACTGTACTTTCATACGAATAATAGGTAATGTAGTCTATTGTTATAGCAAAAATACGTTTGCTTCATCGACAATCACACCAAAGAATGTGATATGGGAAAACGCCTGGTTTTCCTTGAAATTCACATCTGGCCGAGTGGTTAACGTGTCAAGCTCACATTCCGCATTGTCACAGTTCGACTCCCGTTGGGTGTGTTGATAAGACCTATGCGAAGTCGAAACTGCAGTCCACCTCAGACTGGATGAAAACAACTTTTGTGAAAGCAAGGCTATGTGAAATGCAATGGAAACGTCAGCTCTACTCATACGATTGTGGAAAAATTCTACTAGCACTCTTTCATCACCTTAAACGAAATAGGGTGAATACATCTCATATTAAAATGGTGAAGTCGTGTGCAGTACACACAAATTGGCATACACCTAACAATGAAATGAAATTAAACTCTACTATATTAAGAATTTATTCGAAGACCATTTTCTCCCTATTTCTATGTGTTGATTGGTCTTCCCGGCTAGAGTCAGCTTTACGTTTTTGCCGTTTTTGCTCGAACAATTCCTGTAAAGCGGCGTGAGAGGCGAGAGCTCAGCCCTCGAAGTAACTTTGAACGTCTGCAGCTGAGAACGGCCTGAAAGTCAAGCCAACGATAAGTGTACGAGAACAGAAGAATAGAATAATTGAGATATAGATAGTTGGTAGATAGGTAGAAGGAAGGAAAAAATAAAAAAATAAAAAATAAAGAAAGGAAAAAAATAAAAAAAGTTGGATTAATATAGATTTATTTTTTGATAGCTCTGAGGCTGTCTGCCAAATTGCACGACAGACGAACCGAATCGTGTACTACGTCAACTGAACGTCATGGCAACATCAGACGACTGCAGAAGAACAGGATTCAGTCGTCGTCTCTTGGCAGATTGGCCTACGAATCTCGTCATCAGGCTATTTCACACAAAATGAATGTCACACTAATAAGGTTTATCACATGAGCTCCATCGAAATCCACACGGCAACTACGCTATGCATGCGCCATCGAGGGTGTCAACCCTGTCCGGTGGTTGGTCTACTCCTCACAGCTGCAAACAATTCTGCCGAGAAGGCATACTTTTTGGTTTGCTTCAGACTCCATTCGTGACCAAGTGCACATTGAGCGGCTGGAAACTTTCGAAATGGAGCATTCTGGTGCACATGTTTGGTGAGATCGGCCGATAGACCTGTCTTTTGGCAGACATGCGGCTCGAGACAGAAACACTGGCCTGGCGCCATCACCAATCTGGCCGGCCCTCTCCCCTTTCAGCCTCGGCTGGATGATTCACAGCCACATGATCCTGCCTCTCTGGTCCTATCCGATCGGCTCTACTCTCAGATCGCGTCTCAGTTGCACACTCGAGGTCGACCGTGCACGCCAGGGTCGAGTGGCACCGTTAGCCCCCGGCGCAGGGCGCAGGGTGCATTGCCAGTCTCGTGGTCTGCAAAGGAAACGGTGAAAAAACGAGCATAATTTCTTCGGAGCCATTAGTTTACAGACTTTCGTGCAGTCGCCTGACGCCAGACTGTACGTCCAGCCGTGCGGCACTAACAGCACTTTGTCGTCGCATGTGCCCTGTTCGCAGAATTGGATTATTTGGCCACGAATCTCGTTCCACTTGTCCAGTCGTACCGAACAACTTGAGACTATCCTTTGCCTCCGGCCAGAGACCGTATTTAGATAGTGTTGCAACCAAAGTATCACACACACACACACACACACACATACACACACACATAAAACACACACAGCCCCTCATGCTGTGTGCTGTGGCATGTGCCATGCAGGCATCTCGACTTAATGACCTCCCTTCACTCGGGTCACTATCCGATAGTTCCGATCTGTTAAGCACCGGTAGGAGAAGAGCAAGGGAAGATTCTACATGCAAACAGCTTGAGTGATGCTGTTGCGGACAAGAGGTATCGTTGTATTTGCCAGAAGCAGGACAAGATTGTGCGCTTGCCGGTCATTTATTGGTTGAAAACTGCTGTCGCTTGAGCCAGAACAACAAGGCTCAGATCACCTTTTAGTTGGGCGTCCTGCTTAACCAGCCAATATTGGATCCGCAAATCACCTTAAACGGAACATAAATATGACCCAATGGTATTATCGAAGCCTACTTATAAACGAAAATAAGTAATGTGGTCGATTACACTAACCAATACAACTTTGTTCTACGCTACATTACCAGGGGTCGAGTACCGTTGGGCGTACTGATGAGACCAGCTCAGGCCAGCCCGAATGAGAACAGCTTTGCGGAAGCAAGAGTTTACGAAATTCAATGGAAACATGACGCCTATTCATAGGATTATTAAATATATAAATGCGAGGCCTTCATAACTTATTTTCCTATTGGAGTAGAGTTTCGAGATTAACAGTAAATCAGTAATATGAGATGAACTCACCCAATTTCGTTTAAGGTCATGAAGGACTCGTAATTGAATTTTCCCACAATGATATGAATAGAGCCGACGTTTCTATTGAATTTCACATTGACTTGCTTTCACAAAACTAGTTCTCATCCGGTTGGAAACGTCAACTCTACTCATATGATTGTGGAAAAATTTTACTACCAGTCCTTCATCACCTTAAACGAAATTGGGTGAATTCATCTCATTTTAATCTATTGCCAATGTTCTCAGCTGAGGTCAAATGTGAGCCAGCTCGACTTGCTGTTGGTCAGAAAACTTCTCCGATCTGCTCAGCTAATTTCTTCAAGGAAGACTAGTTGCATCATCGTGTACTGCGGTGGCCTCTGAGTTGACTTTCCCTACTTTGCGAGTTGCTGGGCTGGCCATGGCGACGCAGACACTTGGCAACCTGGGTGCTGTACTCTTCGATGCCCCTAATGCTATCAAGTTTAATCACTATTCTTTTGAAAAGCTATTTTGCAACTTCTTTGAGTATAGGCAAGATTTTAACTTTGATGAAAATTTGGGTTTTGAGGAGTCGCTTGTTTCATAATTGCTGAGCCTACTTTCATTTCGAGTGAAAGTGTTTGGTGAAGAGATTCAAAGGTCGATTCGACCAGAAGACGACGACGGCCGATACCACTTGACCAGCTGTCGATTGGCTTTACTGGAGCATTCTTGTTGAAGCTGTTTTCGAAGTAATCTACATCGATTGCTGTGAAATGGTGCTAAGCTTTCGTACGTCATGTGACGAACATCATCAGAGCAAGGTATCATCGTCACAACCCAATTCAAGCTGACGAGTCAAGAAAACTGTCGGCGAGTGGAAGCGATTCGTTGATTGGCTGCACCGGATACCGCGGAAGGGTTGCCTTGGACTTTTGTTTGTTGAATTGTGCCAAGAAGACCTCTTCTCACCGTCCTACGACCCCGATGGTTCTGCGATGAGATATCGTCCGTCATGTCACGGGCATCGTCAGAGCGAGAAATCATTATCCACGAATAATTGCCAAAGCACTAAAGCAAGAAAGGTGACCAGCCGAGATACTACTTACTTCTTAAACCTCATTTTGCCATCTCAATGAGGCATTGCATGCTTTGTTGGCTGTTTTATGCTCGTCCTGCACAAACGTAATCTTGTGAAAGTGATGCAGGAAGGAGAGCGAGTGAGGTCGTAACTTTTCTGCATGTAAATAAAGTAGCGCAGGTTCTAGTAGTTCTGGGTGTAGTCACAGCTTCGTGGATGCATGCTTGCGTGTGTATGCCACAATCACGAGTTGGTTGAACATTTTAGGCTCAAAAACAGGCTCCCACTTAGTCTTGTCTTCTACTCGTACTCAGTGGCTCTTGCTGTTTCCTTTCCTTCTCTCTCTCTCTCCCTCTCTCGCTCTCTCTCATTCTATTTAGACGTCAGATATAGTTCTTATTTTGTTTCCTACATTCATTCCTCTTATTCAGGGTGTTGTTTGCTTTGCTAATTTCAATCGACTCCCTTATCTTCTGCTAGGATGCACCTTAGATTTACGCCCAGAGATAAGGAGTCAATCATGAGATTGACGAACTTAATTATGAATAGAATATATTTTATCTTTAGCAGTAGCTTAGTCTTGCCTCCTCCTCGTACTCAGCGGCTCTTCCTGTTGGCTTTCCTTCTCTCGGTTTTTTCAAGAGTCACTCCTTGTTCCGAAACTATTGTTCAGATCTTTGGATGATTACTTTGCTATCTGGCAGCATGGAAAAGAGTGTTTGGATGGCTTCCTTGGTTTAATGAATAGAGTAGATAAGAAAAGGAAAATAATTTACCCTTTTTGGATGTCCTAGTTGGTGAGGAAGCGAGCAAACTGGGTAGAGATGTATGTAGGAAACCTACAAATACTGGCTTCCTTCTCAGTTTCTTCTCGAACCATACTTATGGTTTTAAAGTAGTAGTAATGAACTCAATGATAATAAGGAATTTACGTCTAGCGGACGTAAATCATTAAGAACAGAAGCTAGAAAGGCTAAGAAAAATCTAAGTGGAGAACAAGTATTAGGTAATATTAATTGTTAACAATTTCAAATTTCAAATTATTGAGAAATAGGGTGAAGGTAGACCATTATTTTGGACAAAATCAAGGAAATAGACATATCTTCGGCCAGGTTCCTAATGGTACCATCCTGCAAGCTTTCAAGAAAGATAAGCGAATGATTGAGGAAATGGAGTGTCAAGACAAGGTATAAACAAACAATAACGCTTTCCTCGATTACGCTGACCCAACACAGCACCGCCTGTATGCAGAAATCGGAGTTGGCTAAACACGTGGTTGCTACAGGACACCAGATTGGCTGGTCTAAATCCCAACGTTTTTCCACATATGGGGACTTCACAGCTAAGCTGAAGATAAGGGAGTCGATTGACATTAGCAAAGCAAACAACACCCTGAATAAGAAGAATGAATGTAGGAAACTAAGCAACAACAATCTCTAGCTTCTAAATAGAACGAAAGAGAGAGAGAGAGAGAAGGAAAGGGAACAGGAAGAGCCACTGAGTCATGCTGCTGGAGGCTGTTTTTGAACCTAAACTAGTTCTGGGTCTAATCACAACTTTGAGGATGCCTGTTTGCGTGTGTATGCAACAATCACGAGTTGGTTGACAACTTTACTTTCAAAAACAGCTTCCAGCTTAGTCTTGCCTTCTCCTCGTACTCAGTGGCTTTTCATGCTCCCTTTCATTCTCTCTCTCTCTCGTTCTATTTAGAGGTCAGAGATAGTTGTTGCTTAGTTTCCTACATTCATTCTTCTTATTCAGGGTGTCGTTTGCTTTGCTAATGTCAATCGACTCCCTTATCTTCTGTTTAGCTGTGAAGTCCTCATATCCGGAAAAACGTTGGTATTTAGACCAGCCCATCTGGTGTCCTGTAGCAACCACGTGTTTAGTCAACTCCGATTTCTGCTGTGTTGGGTCAGTAGGTCTATCTTCTTGTTCAATTATTTGCTCATCTATTAACTTCATAAAATCATATGAATTCTTTATTGCAATTTCCAACAAGTTGAGATCATCTTTAATTGACGACAGAGGAATCGTGATGTTTTATGCATCACACCCCCCTCATTATTTACCATAATCCTAAGTGGGACTCGCTCTTAGTGGATTTTGGGCAGACCATATGCATTCTGAGGACTAGCGTCACGTTGGAGAAGTGTATTCATTTTTCACTTCTCCACTTCTCCCCTGTCGACGCATTGTTGCGGCAACTCTTAAGTCTGGACTTTAGTTTTTCTGTAGTGTTTCTAGCTATAATTCTATACGTATCAACATCAGCTAAAGCCAGCATAATCTTTTCTCTCCTCCTTTGTCTGCCCTCAAAACTATTTGCTCGTGTCGTCTAAGCTTCTTTGTGATATTATTAACACATCTATTCTTATTTTGTGCTTCCACTTGGTTATCAATTAGAGGAACAACCTGCATTTCAATCTCACTTCTAGTTTCTTCTGTTAATTGGTCAGTAAAGTTAATAACCCCTGCTAAAATCTCATCAGTGAAGCTCTTAATATTCAGCAAAGCATAGCCGAGACGTGTAGATAGAACTTCCTCAGTAATACTTCCCAATGCTGTCTTGGACAGGTTAACTATTTTCCC